CCCCAGCCAGCTTGCTGGCTGGGGAATTCTAAGAGTTGAAGTCCGCACCTCTTAAAGTTGCCAAGGTTGAGAAATACTGGTTTAGAGCATCACTAGATTGTTACAGCCTAGTGAATGGAAAGGAGCATTTTACCAGATCTAGTCAACCATCAGACCTGAGGCCTCGGGAGTCCAGCTTTCCTTTCTGTATTTAGAAAACCTCTTCCACTCTTCCCACGGGATAGTTCATGCTCAACCGTGTTGAAACAGTGCTTGTTTTCCCTAGGAGAAACTCTGAATGGTCAGAGGAGTTAAGGTCTGGGAACGAATTATAAATAATTGTGCATTCCTTTTTCTGATCAGCAGATTTGACCTACCACCAAGTTTGTTTAATGTTCAATTCCTAGGCAATATCTCTTCACTCAATATTTTGTCTAGGCTGAGAGACTCCCCAGGTATTGTCTGCCTGGATGAGCTTTGTGTACCTGTATATGTAACCTATACAGCCCAACCTATTCGCCTGTTCATTACCTTCAGAACTCTTTTAATTAACTATGGAGTCATTAAGGCATCCTTTAAATTTTTTTAATTAAATATTTACTTTTCCAGTCTTCTACCATTGCTGTTTTGTGCCTGCACCATTCTGGACAAGGTTTGGTATAGTCTGGAGGTGTTTAGAGCAATCAAGATGCATCTGTTTTTCTGATTATCTAGGTAGGTCACCTTATGACATAAGGTTTCCACAGCCACATTATTGAGCTGGATCCAGTCCCGCATTTCTCCCTCTTATGAAATTTCACTGCTAATCAGTAAGGAGATAGATTCTGCAATCTATCAGGGGTGTGGCCACTTTAGTCTTTTTTTTTCCCCATTAATGCTCCCTTGAGAAACATGTAGAGCTGCTAAATTGACTTTAGTGTCTTCCTTTCGCAAAGGAATTTGTTAAAGTTTCTTGCAGAATTACATCTCCCATCCCTAGGGACTGCTTTAGTATGTCTGTGTTTTCAGGACATGCTTCTCTACTGTAGGAAAACAGAGCATATTATGGATGGAAGGTGTTCCTCCTTCCCTGATGAATAATCTTTTTGCAATGTTTCTATTGTGTTTCTGTTTCTACCTGCCTTGTTTCTTGAATTTCCTTTGGAGCTTCAGTTGCTTTTTGATCATGTAATTGGAAGAAAGGGATGTTCTCTCCCATTATAAGGAGTGTTATAAACGCTTTAGTCCAATATTCCATCCTCCCCAGTCCAGCTTCTCAGAGGCCAAAATTTCCTGATGCAGTCTCTGAGCTCATTCAGATGCACTCTGGCTATGCCAACAGGAGTGCAGAGAAGTTGTACTCTGCTCCTTTCCCTACTCTTGGGTACCGACTGAGTGGGAGTTAAGGCAATGAGGTGCCACTTGTACCTTGAAGACGCCTCTTTGAGAAGAAAACCAGAAGTTGGTTCTTATTCCTTCCTTGTTAAGTGCTTGTCAATTAAGCAGTAATAGTTTAAAAGTCCAACTTGAGAAGGGAATGGGAGAATTGCAGGCCGCCTATTTACCACGTATACTGCGTGAAATACTTATCTCAGAAAATGTCATATACCAGGAGCTATATGTAGGCTTTTCTCATAAGAGCAAGGATACATTTGGTGGATGGTGAACAATTTCAGGTAACAATACACTGAACCAGTAACCACAATACATAACATTAATGAAATTGGATAGATTTCTTTATTGTATCTCAAACTTATAAAATTTTAATGAATTCTTATTGCCAGGGCAGATCAAAATACCAACATCTGTAATAATAAAAATGCCAGTGCCATTCATATTCTCCTGAGGGACTGTTCCAAAGTTTGGGTATTTTGTGAATGCATAATTCACCACTTTTATAGCTAGAGAAGAGCCATTTCTGATAACTATAATCCATGGGCAAATTTTTAGGGGAGGGAGTAGTTTTGTACCCACTTTGCTTCATCTAGGTAATGATAAATTATATATTGCCATGGAATTTACAGGTAGTCCTCAGGTTACGACAGTAATTGCAACCAGAATGTCCATCGCTAAGCGATATGGCTGTAAGGTTATGTCACATGACCGTATTGCTTAGTGATGGCAATCCTGGCAGTCCCCATTGTCATCGTTAAGCGAGGATCACAGGTTGTTAAGCAAGAACCTCCTCGCGGCTTTCTGCCGGCACCTGACAAGCAAAGTCAATGGGGAAGCCAGCAGGTAGTCACAAGTCCTGATCACAATAAGCCTTTCCTTAGACAGCTCGCAAACAGGCCAGCAGGTGGGTGAGCGCTACAGAGTATAGTCGGGCAGATGTGTGTGTGCTGCGGTGTGGCTTGAGTGCAACCAGGCAGGAGGGGGTGCTATGGCACGAACATGGCCAGGCTTGCAGGTGGGTGCTATGGCACGAGTGCAGCCAAGCATGTGGGTGGGGATGTTGCCCAGGGGCTCCTTGGGAGAAAAAGCAATAGAGGTGAATTACCAGAGTGATTTGGGACCACCTGCCAGCTTTCACACTGACTTTGTTGGAAGCCGGGAGGGAAAGTCACAAATGGTGTCCTAAGTGCAAGCCAGTTACCAAGTGCCTGAATCATGATCACATGACTGCAGGGTTGCTGTGACAGCCGCAACTTCAAGGACCAGTTGTAAGTCCATTTTTTCAGCACCAATGTAACTTTGAACAGTCGCTGAATGAATGGACATAACTTGAGGACTACCTGTAGTCCATAAGCATCTGGGGAGCAAGACATTCATCAAACATCATTTTAGGACATTTTTGTGGCAGTAGTACTGTTTTTTCCAATCTAATAATGTTATTCACAGAACATAACTTCTTTAAGATAAATGTAAAAGATTGTGGGGTGACTGGGAAAGGAAGGGAGAAAATAACATCAAGTGAATCAGTTGACATAATAAATGGCAACTCAGACCAAGTAAGGAGAGACTGGGAAAAATTGTGTCAGAATATTCAGAGGGACTCCACTTTTAAGTGGGCTGGGAAATTTCCGTTATGGTTTTGAAGATTCTGTATTTAGCCTAGACAAAATATTAAAGTTGCCTTATTGAAATCTGTATCATTCTTGCTTCCTTGATCTTGCCAGCTGTATGGTATTTGACAATAAATGATAGCAAAATATGACTTGTCAATTTAATGAATCACTTGGTACCAAAAGAACAGAATCGTCTTGTGCAGAAGGTTAAATATGCCATCTTTCAACTTTGGGTTATACAGTTTGCTCCTAACTGAATGGCATGACAATTTCCAGAAAGATCTGAAGACAAGATGCAGTAATTTTCAAAGTGAATCTTGGAACGATGCCCTGACTTTCCCAGAGGGACCCTAGCAGAGTAATGTGGAAATTCTACAAGGATTCCACGGCAATGACATTGCCGTTCCCAGAGGGGTTCTGGGATGCTGCTGTGAAAATACTTTACTCCTAAAGCTTCATGTAAGAGCCCAGAGTGTTCCTCAGATTGCTCATGAATATAATAGCTTATTGTATTAAAAGGATTCTATTATATATCATTGTACATTTTTGTTAAGGAAAACCGAGCACTGCAGGAGGAACAGATCAGTCAGCTATGTCTATGCTACTAAGAGGTCCACTTCCACCAATATTTCTCAACCTGGAACTTCAAGATGTGTGGACCAACTCCCAGAATTCCCCAGCCAGCCATGCTGGCTTACACTTAGGTAATTTGAAAACTTTCCTTTCTTGTATCCTTCATGGAGATGCAACCTGGTTCTTGGCTTCCTCTCAAGCTAAAGGATATTTCACTGGAGTCAAAACTGTTGTTGATGCCCTATTTTTAGCTGTTAACAGATTCTTGTAAGGAGATGCAAATGACAAAGTATTTATTTGTTAATCAAATTTATATCCTGCTGCAATTATAGAAGACTCTTGACAGCAAAGCATTACTTAGAATCAATAATAGGTTGGGTGTTTTACCTGTACATGAAGCTGCTGGATGAGGTCATCTGCCAGTCTGGGGTTTGGTATCATCAACATGCAGATGATACCATTATATTTATCAATCTCAAGCCGGCCAAATGAGGCCATTGAGGTCCTGTCTCAGCCTGGAGGCAGTGCAGCCTAGATGGGGAGGAATTGACTCTGACTCAATCTTACAAAGACTGAGTGGCTGTGGATATTAGGGCCTCCTGGACCTGGGGATTTTCTGTCTATACTCTATTTAAGAGTACTCCCACAGACAATAATGGCCTCGCTAATTCCTCACCTCAAACTGGTAGGAACAAACCATACTCATTCTAAGAATGTTTGTCCCAGTAGCTTAACCTATTATCAGACTCCCCTGCCATCACACACTTACCAGTATTTTTCCTGTGTCAGAGCTTTTGATTTAATTTGGCCACTTCCACTTCAGTTGTCTACCTTTTTAGAGAAACCAGCCAAGTTACCCTATCTTCCTTGCATTCACTGGCCTGAAATGGAGATCAATGTACCAAGTGTTTTTGAGTTGTCCAATTTTTAACTGGGTTATAAAGAAGAAAAAAAATCAAAAACAGTTCTGTTGCATTGGAGAGGCTCTTAGAAATCTTGACTGGTGCAATCTTGGAAAATGCTGGTCCCAGAACTGCCTTTGCAAGGTCCTTGGGAGATTTACATGAGGGCCCTCATACCACATATAGTCCTGATTCCTGGAAGAAGAGGGAGGAAGTTGTGTAAAAGTTCCACCCCTTATATCCTCATGAAATATTCCCAGGGATACCTGGAGGATAAAAGTAAGAGGCAGGCAGATCCAAGTCACATCTGACAGTCTTTGCGAAGATGAAGACACTTTAGTTCTTGGGAATCTTCCTTCTTGTGGTGCTGGCCATACTAAGTGCTGAGGGCAAGATTCTAAAAAAAACGTGACCTGCATCGGATCCTAGAGTGAAGGCTTTGACAGATTTCAAGGAGGCACAGTGGCTCTGTATCTCTCTGCTCCCCTCCCCCCCCCCCATTTTGTCCCATCTCATCCACGCAGCCTCCTTGTCCTGGGCTCACTTACCTTTTGCAGAGGACATAATTCACAATGGAGCTTCCATCTCAGTGCTAGCCTGCTGCTGGAGCAGGGTGAAGCCAGATTAAGATGATCTAGCAGGAAAATGGTGTTTCCAAGAAAAATGGAAGAAAACCTTCTACGTGGATATTCTAGTTTGCATGCAGGATGAGGACCCCTTCTTTTAAACCCAGTTCCAGAAGTAATTAAAAAAAGTCATTTTGATTTTCCCAAATCCAGCAGATGAAGATTTTAACTAATCCAGAGAAAAACGTTAAGGGAGGGGCAATCATGAAATCTTACCACAGGAGAATGTGTCACCCTGCCCCTGGTAAGGTACCCTGACCACATCATTCTCCTGCAGGGGTCTGCCTGGCAAAACACGAGAGGAATTTTGACACTGCAGCTATAAACAATAATGGCAAGAGCTGTGACTATGGAACCTTCCAAATCAACAGCCAATATTGGTGTGATGATGGCAAGACTCAGGGTTCCAAGAATATTTGTGACATTAATTGCAGAGGTAAGTGTGTGTGTGTAGAGGTAAGACAGCCAAAAATAGGTACGCGTTCCGTTTGTCTCTTTGACCCTCTAGCTTCCATGTTGTCTTCAGAACAATGAGAGCCAGTTTGGCGTAGTAGTTAGACACTGAATTAGATGTTGAGAGACTGTGAGTTCTAGTCCTGTTCCAGACACAGATGCTAACTCCGGGCAAGTCATTCTCTGTTAGCCCTACGAAGAAGTCAGGACTGATTCCATGGACCTTAACAACAACATCATCCTAATATATATCTTCATCATTTGTGCCTTGCTCATTCCACTGTGTTTTGTCTTTCTTAAGAATTCCTGGATGAGAACATCAGTGATGATATCAAATGTGTCAAAGCATTGCAGCAGATGCAAAGGGCTTGACTCCCAGGTAAGTCATCTCACTGAGGTACCAGAGCCCAGAGACAGATTGGGAGGATGTCAGTAATCAGTGGGAAAAAGGGGGGGGGGAGAATACAGCTGGGGAGTATCATAGAAAGTTTCAAAGCAGTCCGTTGTGTTGTTTAGAATAGCATAGGAATACACGGATTGAAATTATAAAATTTCCAGCAGACTTTGTCACCAACTGACAAGCTGTTTTATCTGCCAAAGGAAGCAGTGGGTCTGGGTTCATTTTTGTTGTCTATCCCAGCTTCCTTCTTGTTATTCAAGGCTGGAACATTTTTAATGTACACACTGAATTCTGAGACCTTGATTACATTTGGACATTGATTACTGAGTTTGGAGCAGAGCTGGAATCTCTTTTTTACCTCAAAAGAAGGCCTCCAGATTGAAAAAGGGGATTTTAAAGCAACTTGCCTTCTGCAGCAAATGTAAATTAGAACCTATTCCCCTTCCTTCCTTCCTTCCCTCCTGGGAGGCCTGGAAAAAAAACTGCCAAAGAAATGTGAATGAGTATGCCAATGATGTTTTTCAAACAATACCTGTTTTGACAACTGATCCACCATTTAAACAGTGGCAGCAGGATATATTTAAATTTGTGTGGCAAGGGAAAAAAACATGAGTTAAATATAAGGCATTACAAGATGCAAAGGAAAGAGGATTGGGTTTCAAATTGTATTTTGCAGCTTGCTGTTTGGTTTGGATGAAAGAGTGGGTGCTGCTGAGAAACAGAAGGCTCTTGGAGTTAGGAGGCCATGGCCTGAGATTTGGGTGGCATGGATATTTCTGGTACAATAAAGTCAAGGTTAATGTGGATTTTAAAAATCGTTATTCTGCACTTTGCTTTTTCATTGGAGAGGCTGCCTGCCTGCCTGCCCGCCCACCCCATCGTCTGCCAGGCGCTTCACGTTCACACAGCCACAGGTAATGAGCTCCTGAAGACATTTGGTTTCCACTGCATTGGGAATGGCTTGCAAATCAAATGGGTTGTCATGAATGAGCTCAGGATGAGAGGTTTTGGATGCAGCTGCAACAGGTCCATTCTACCCACTTTAAAACAGGAACTACTGTGACCTGCACTCAACAAAGAAGCTGGGTAACCAGGCTGTCTTTGGCTATTTAGAAAAACTGGAAAGCGAGGGGGGGAAATTACTTATAATAATTATAAAAATAATTTTATTTTCATGTTCTCCCTCTTCCAAAAATAAAGCTGGAGGAAAAGCAACCTTTGTATAAGCAGGAACTTCCTTGCCTAAAAATGGAATCCATTTCTTCCCCATCAGTTTACAGACGAAAACAGGGAGAGATTTCCAACATCTTTATTTCATTAAAATTACTCTTATCTGTTCCCTATCCCCCAGCATTTTAGTCTGCCTCAGTAGTATAGTAATTTACGCAGCAAGAGTTTCCCCTACACTGTTGTAAAAGCTATGAAGGCAGGGACCTGGAATGAGAAGGGGAGAGAGCAGATAAGACCCATCCCTTGGACCCTCCGGAAATGATCCTGCAAAATCCTGATGCTGGAGGCTGGGCTGCTGAAACAGAGGAGAGGCCTCATACCTGCCAACACGGTTGTATGACATGGCAAGTGTTTTGCTGCCAATAAATTGCATACATCTTAAGGGGAGTGTGTGTGGAATTACTCATACCCATCCATTTCTTATCAGACAGTGGAGCGCCTACTTCTGAGCCTGATTCTAATACCTTTTCTCTTTTTCAATCTGAGTTTCAGAGACGTGTTCCCATGATTATAATGCTGCAAATGATGTGTTATTGTTGCCTTGGCTAGATGTGAACATTACCTGAACGTATCCTGTCTCCTTTTAGATCACAACTAGATGTTGCTATTCATATAACAAAACATGGTTTTCTTTTTTTAATGCAGGTGGTCTGCTGATACCTATCAGGAACTAGGTAGCAGCTGTCTTTTAGCTCTGGGCTCTAATCTGTGTACATGGTGAATGGTGCCATGCCTTGTTTTGCCTTTACCTACATGTGCCCCTAATTGGCTTCTTAGCACAGTCACTGAAGTAGCTAACATGCCCACTGGTCATTTGTAGCTATCCCTCCAACACTGTTGTGCATTTACTCTCAAAAACAAAACACTACAGCTCTTTGCAGCTCAGAGACCTTTTTCAAATATTTACTTATCAACCCAAATGGAGCAGAGAAACTCCGCAAGGTCAACTAGACATGTGATGCTTGTGTCACTTTACATGCAAATGTATCAAATACTGTACGTACTTTCTTCTAGGGGGAAAGAGTTCTGAAAGAGGAAGAGAACTGGGAGGGGAAAGGGTGTCATGCAGATCAGCGCCGCCAAGACTCATTTCAGCAGCGTGGTTAGAAAGGACATCATGGCTGAAGCAATAGCAGCCAGAGTGGTCCAATACAGATCGCGCAGATCCTGACACAGACTGACCAACAGTTTGAACTGGGACCATCTCAGTCTCAAAAAGAGGTTGGAAACAAGAATGCAATGGGACAAAACATTTAGTTCTATTTAAAACCCCTTTGGAGTTGAAATGTCACATTACTGTTTGAACAATACAAAGGAAATGATTCAAAATGAAAGACACTCAATGACTTCTAGAAGAAATTTATTTAAAAATACCCTTGCAACATTTTGAAGATCTGGTCTTAATGCTGAAAATTATTTTGAAGACACTGTAAAAAAACTGACACCAATATATATATAGATTTCTGCTTCCCACCTCAGAGGTTTAAAATCAAGCCCCCCTTCTTAATGCTCAATCTTGCTTTGCCACCATCTGTATCTGATGAAGAAAAAACAACTTTGATACAAATATAAGGAGCACTTCCTTGCCTCAGCACCACTGATCCCAACTTTTATTATACATTAGCAATAAAGCTTTCTTTAAAATTAATTCATAGAATCATAAAGCTGAAAGGGACAATTCAGGCCTTTAAATTCAACCTTTCAGTCAAGGCAGGAAACCACATTAAAGCACCCCAGGCAGGTGACTGGCTACTGCTTGCCAGGATCCAGTAAAGAGGAATCACCACTTCTTTGGACTCCATTGTTAAATTGCTCCTGTTCCCCTCCCACTCCCCAATGTTCAGTCATAATCTGTCTTCTGAAATTTAGGACCATTGTTTTGCACTCTGGACAGTGGAATGTAGCTCTTGGTCTTCTGTGTGACACCCCTTCAGGTATTTGAAAGGTGCTGTAATATACCCTCCCAAATGGGCTAGAGCTCTCCAGTTCCCCCAGCCTCGCTAAGGCTTGGTTCCTGGTTCCGTGCCCGCAACTGGGCTCAGTACTTGGGCTGGGGTCAGACCAATGCAGGATATAGTAAGACCGTTATTTCCTGTAATTTAGACACTATGAGTATATAATCCTTAAAGGTTTTTATGACAGTAGCCCCTCTCGGGATCTCCCGCCGGCTCATTCTGAAAGACAAAGAAAGGAAGTATAATACTTTTGTCTTGAAGCTTTCACCCACCTTGGGAAGAGAGGAAAACATAATTACACCAAACTGGCCTCCCTGCAGCCAATTAGTAGCGATTCAAATGTCATTCTTCAATGTAGATTTCAAAGCTACAAGAGACATTCAGCAGACTTTCTCTGTTCCTCAGAAATTTTACCTTTCCAGGTTTCCCTTTTCCTGAGTGGCCTGTAATTACCATTGTATTTTGTCCTGTTTCAGTTAGATTAATGAGCATCATATAATAATTCTCAACAGGCCGTAAAAAAAAAAAATCATAGTCTAGACTCAGAATTAAGCTACACTTGGGGTTAAGAACACCTTTGCAACTAACCTAAAACAGGCAGTTTCCCACAACTGAAAAAAAAAAAGCAATTACCTTAGTTGGATAGCTGATAATTAAAGTAACCAGAATGGCAATATAGAGGGAATGTAACCTGTATCTTTTCTGCTTCCACGCTAAAGAAAATGCCCACCCCACACATATGTTCCTTCTGGTGCCAATTATTCATTCATTCATTCAATTTATATAGCTGCCCATCTCAAACCAGTGACTCTGGGCGGCTATATAAATTGAATGAATAAAATAAAATAAAATTGGCACCAGAAATGGGAAACTACTCTGCTTCAAGCAACACCAGCTTGACTGAAGGGATTTTAATGCCTGAAATATAAAATACTTAAATTTGTCTTCTGTGTTTGCTGATCCTATTTTTCCAGCTGATACAATTCTGATTTTTTAAGACCCTACTGGTGAGGCCTATAGATCAGCCTATGATGAGCAGAGCAAGTAATGCACCAACATTTTCAATGAAATTCTGACTCCTGAATAATAGGGAAAAATATTCTTAAGAATTCCTACTTTAGCCACCTATCCAAAACTTGTTAAGTGGAAGAAGGGAACTGTTATTATTTTTAAAAGTAGTTCTTGGTATTAAGACCAAAAGAACTTTCCTCTTTTGCTTTGTGGGCATATCACTTGGTTGCAAACAGTATGATGGCTTCTGGTCAAGAATCTACAAAATCAGAGTGAAAACAACTTTGGCAGACATTGCAGGGGAAAAAAAATGCAATGAAATATAAGGCAGGGAGGGATTTTGTTGTTGTTGCTGGGGATTGTTCTTTTAAAAAAAGTCTTTGAGGACTACAGGTGGCATGGCATTATCCCCAAGGGTTTGAGGGCAGAGATGTTTATCCTTTTTTTGTTGTTGTTCTTTTGTGGATTTTTAAAATAAAGGGTTAAAAGCTTTTGCTTGTCTGAATTTCCCAATATCTGGGGTGGTGCGGGGAGCTGCAGGCCACGTATAGCCCACTTGCCATATTTAAAGCCACAGGACACAAAATGTGGCCTAAAAGTAGCAGCAGAGCAGCTGTTACCATGTTTTGCTCCAGAGGTCATTCCAATGAGCGGTATTTATAAGGGATGGGATGGGACTGAAGGATACCTCTTAGGAGGATGAATTGGGAGCAATTATTTGAGCTGATGCTGTGGCAAAGCATTTCATTAACATTTGTTGCTTGGAAAATGAGATAAATACCACTTTTTATCACAACCCTCACATTTGTTCTGATGATCTCTACAAATAGTAAAATTAGATTTTTGAAGGAAAACCTTTTAGAAGCCACAGCAAATATTTTAATAAAGAGTGTCCCATCTTAAAAAATTATATTCCAAATTTCACGAGCCTTGTCTTATTAGTCAGGATGCCTTTTTGTTGCTTCATCAATTAACTGTTAGATCAACATAACCAAAGACCCATAGCCTGCCTTGGCTGAGAAGGGCTTTGTGTGGCTACATATAGTAACTTATGTCAGGGAATTAGTACTCCCCTCCCCAAAACCTATTACATTGGCTGACTTGACCCTCTAATATTCAAGTCTGCGAATGACCACATCAACATACGCACAAGACAGAAGCTCCAGAGAGGTACCCAAAGAGAAAGTCTGTTTTCAACTCCAGCCTTGAGGTAAACTCTCTTCCAGGATCCAGAGGTGCCCCTTCCACCTGCCAAATAAAGCCAGGTTACAATTCTAGTTCAGTATTCATTGTGTGATAATATTTTGATAATGGAGCCTTCCAGGTGAATCCTCATTATCCTGGGGATAATTTATATTAAACATTAGGCTATGTTCATCCAGGTTCCTTCAAGGACAGGTTTTAAACCATGCATTCAAGAGACAAGGTCAAAGACAAAGATCAGCAGCTACTTCATTTTAGAAATAAGAGGTTGACTCAACACAAGAAATAAGGCTGATACTAGATCTTCTGAGGCAACTTAGCTAATGTAGAACATGAAGGTTGTGCTATAAGTCAATTAATCTGCAGACATTTCCACTGAATACATATGTGCAACTCAACACATCTATTCTGGACCCTTGCACATAACTGAAGCTTAAAATGACTGACACCCTTCTGGATGGGCATATTAAATTCTTGAAAAAAGTTCCATCATCAATTATCACCAGCTACATTGGCCAGGGATAATGGAGTTATGAGTTAAGACATGGTATCACATATACAAGTTTGGTATTTTTTGTAATGGTTTCATTTCTCTAACATATGCAGTTTATTTTATTACACCTGACACCATTCTTCAGACCTGACTTAATTCATGCTGTTGACATCTTGTCCCACGGGATGGGAGGCTGCATATTAAAACACTTCAACATACTTATAACTTGATATGAAGTCATCCAGTTTCAGCATTTGCATTTACTATTTTCTATTACATACCTATGCCACATTAATTTTGTGGTATAAAGTGATAAATGATACCACAAAATCAGCAAGGGGTCAACAAGCAGTCTTTTTCCAATTGGCAAGGATAAAAGATTTGGGGCTAAAAAAGCAAGAGTCCTCTTCAAAAGCCCACATTTATCACAATGATTCTTTTTATAAATACAATAAAAGTAGGCTAATTTAGCTATCTGTTCTCAGGCCAGATTGATGTATACTCTTTTCCACTCACTATGAAGAATCTGCATGAACAGCTGAATTTAATCATTATTATTATGCTGAGGAAATTTGCATTATTTTCTTTCCTTTTTAATATGTAATTGCATTTGCTGATTTGAAGGACAGTGAAAGAATTCTGCAAAGGACTGAAATCCTGCCCTAATAGCCCTTTACTCTAACACTTTAGCAAGAAACACATATGCATTCAAGAGTATTTTAACAGCCATGTATATAGAAAATTTCTTCCACTGTCTCTGAAATGAAACCTCTTGTTTTCAGAAAAATAATGCAGACCTAAGAGAGTTTAATGATTATCTCTAGTGATTATGCATACAGCCCCACTATGTATTCACTGTGATTGTCAAAAGATCCTTTAGGAACTCAAGCTTCTGGGAGGATCAACAGGCAAGATGAGCGGTGGCTGACAATCATTCTTTAAGACAGCTTACATACTTTTAACTCATGGATAAAAAACTGAGGTAGCAACTAATGATAGTGCCTGGGAATGTGGAACCAGATGGTAATTATTTCACCATACTTAAGTGGAATCTCACATTACTGATAATCTTTTATAATGTGTTTATTTGCTGTATCTAAGCAATGCACAGGTTGGCAGGGAGTCCTAAAAGGCCACAATGGTCTTGTATGCAAAGCTTTAACAGCACTGTACCATACAAAAAGTTCAACAGAGGTGTGCAAAATTTTTACTGTGAAACACCTATGTCTGAAATGAGCCATTTCAAACATTTGGGATGCAGCCTACAAGTTCAAAATACTCCTGAAGCTTCCACAAAATTTCACACCTGAAATGTTTCAAAACAATATTTTGCACACTTCTATAAAACACAGAAAGGATCTTTCCAGTTCTAAAGCTTGATTTTCAAGCTTTTACTACAACATATATATGACATCATTATACAAAACCTTATGGTTGTAGCCTGCCTACTTATGTGATGACTCGAGTCCTCTATCAAGATTTCTGTTTATCAAGTACCCATGTAGTTACTTAGCATGTGTGCCAGTTACTGCAGCCTTAACACAGCTGCTAAGAGTTGAAGTGTTAAAATGTCAAGAACAGAATTCATTTTCAGAAGGGCATTTAATAGGCTTCGTGAAGCCAAAGAACTGAATACAGGAATTCCTTAACCACTTTTAGTACAATATTGAGTTACATGTGAGTCTTCCAGTTTAAAAGAAAAATATAAACAAACAGTTTTTCAAGAACAACTTGCAGGTTCTGCAAGCTTCAAGTTCTAGGTACATCATACAGTATAAATTCTGATTTCTGAAGATCAACACATGAGTCTCCCTTAATAATCAAGGGGGGTTGCCTTCCACCATGCCCCTTCCTCACTACATCATAGGACTTTTACAAAACTACAATGTTATTAATGCATTTATAAAAACAAGGAGGATCTTCACACCTTGCTCAGACTCTGGGGAATCATAGGCGAAATATAGGTCAGACCCCCCACCTTGGCTTGTTAAAAGAAATCCGGGGAAAAAAAAGCAATGAAAGTATTATTTAAAATGCTTAAACACACCTGTAAAAAATAAAAAAGGAAAAATAAAGCAAATTAAAAAGTTTTCCTCCAAAAAGCTCTAACAGGCCATCCTGTAGCAGAAGCTGTTGGGCTGCTTGTGATAAGACTACAAAAAGGGAAGATACAGGTAGAGAACTAAACAAGATTCAGCGAAGCTCCAAAAATCTTTATAAATACAGCCATTGGAAGGACGATCTTGATTCAGGAAGAATTTATGCTCGGTGCAAGCTGAGAACGAGAAGCAGGTACAAATTGTAAAGCACACTGAAGAAACTGGTACATTTTACTAAACTAGTCTCCCTCCTCCCAACCCAGGCCAGATAGTTTATAGCCTTGGGTGATGGTGCTGTTGACTAAACTCAGAGCGTGAGGAAAGGGGGAAAAAAAAAAAGCTGAGCTTTCTTTGTTAAGGGGATGTTTGTATACGCTATTTTTGTTCTTTCAAAAAAGCATGGGTCTAAGAGGTACATGGTGGTTCATTTACCAAAATTTATGGTTCAGAGGATGCTTCTGTGTGCAAAGACTGTAGTCAGGATTCTTATAGACTTGCCCAACAGTGTCCTTTAAGAATCAGTTTGTAAAGATGCTGAACTGTCCCACTGTTTTTCTCCAGCAGCAGGACAATTCATTTATGCTGTATTCTGCTGGCAAAGTTACAACAGGCACTTAGAAGGCTAAGTACTATATTTTACTAGCTACTACATGATAGGAGCAGAGGATGCTTAAACCCACTTGAACATACCAAAGAAACATACTTACCTAATTATCATAATTGTCTCTGTAGGAGCTTCCAGAGTAACGGTCCCCATAGCCTCCCTGATTCCTGGAAGAAAAAACATGAAGGACTGATTTAGGCCACTGCTGGATTACAATTAAATTGTGCAAATAACAGTAATACTGAGAACAGAACTCATTACATGCAAGTAAAAAATTGCTTTATCCTTTTAAACTTCATTATTACAAACACGTGAGAATGATAGTTGTGTAATTACGGATATATTTTATCATGGTATCTGATGCAAATTATTATGGGTAGGCAAAATCAACTATTTTTATGCTTCTATTACAGATAGTCCTCGATTTATGACCACAATTGGGACTGGAATTTTTATCACTAAGCGATGCGGTTGTAAAGCAATATGTCATGTGACCACATTGCTGAGCGATGGCAATCCTGGCACTCTCCATTGCTGTTATTAAGTGAATTCCACTGGTTGTTAGCCAAGGACCCACCCCAATCCAAGCTATTCTGGGGTTGGTTCCTCCCCACCTTGAGCCTCAGTAAGGTAAGGGATTGCCTCTGACTCCTCCACCCACTTATCTCTCCCCATCTCTGCCCTTTTGGCCACCCCGCACCCTACTCTGCAGGGCAGCAAGCAGCCCCAGAACTGTGCGGCTCTGGGGCTTGCCACACTGCAGCTCAGGGGCTTCTTAGCCCTCCTTCTCCCTTTGCTTGCCTGGCACTCTCCTTCGCCCTTCACTCACACACATGCACTGTGCCCTCCTTTGCTCGGCGCCTCCTTCTCTTCACTCACACCAGCGCCCCCTTCACTCAAATACACATACTGCACCCTCCTTTGGTGGCTTGCACACACTGCACCCCCTTCCCTCATTTGAGGACTCTCCACGGGTGCTTCTGGAATCTGCTGGCCATTTGTGAGGCTTTCTTCTTTCTCCTGCAAAGTCCCAGAGCTGCAGTGCAGTGTGAAGGGGACGTGGTGCGTGCAAGGAATGAAGGAGGGCAGAGTGCATGTGTGCAAAGGGGGGAAGGAGGGTGCAGTGCATGCGAGGTGGGGGAGACTTACCCAAGCAAATTGTGACCTCCCCTGCTAGCTTCCCCAATTGACTTTGTGTGTGGGAAGCTGGCAGGGATGGTTGCAAATGGCAATCACGTGACTGCAGGGGTGCTGCAAAGGCCATAACTTTGGGGACCAGTTGTAAGTCCAAATGGTCACTGAATGAATGGTTGTAACTCAAGGACTACCTATAATTATGTATTTCCTACAGATTTTTTTCATTAGTTGTAGTGCTGAGCAGAGGTGCTGATTTAAAGGGTCAATGTGATCTGGAGCATGGACAGGCAGATAGCACTTGTCCAGAACCTCTTAAAGCAGTTGCATCTTTTCCTGGGGTTACCTGGTTGCTACTATGCCATCCCATAAGATATATGCTTAAGATGTTACCAATGGGTGTTACATATGCACACATCTGCACTCTTGATCATACCTTGCCCTTCGAATCCATGTCTCTGCACAGCTCTATCAGTTTATATTACCTGGAATTAGGCACCCAGGTTCTGAATGAATTCTCATGTAATTTTGCATTTAAGAACCCTCCAATCCCTCTAATTTTTTTTAAATTTTTTATTTAGCGGATATCTCATATCTCTAGAAGATATAACAATAATCAAGAATTTTACTACAACTAAGCCAAAATGTATTAATTGAAATTATCACCTATTCTTTCTATGGTTACATCTGTTCCAATCCCTCCCCTCCTAGTTTCTCTTCATTTTAGACTACAAACCCCTTGGGTTAGGAACCCTATCAAACCTCTAGCACAAAATATTATCATATGTACAAATGTTCTATACAGTAATTTACTGCAATATGTAACAACAATAATTTATTAAATTTATATGCCACTTGACTTCCAGCAACTCTGGGCAGCTCACAAATGGTTAAAAACTTTTAAAACAAAAAAACAAAACAAAACAGAACAAAGATGGCAGAGATAACAACCCAGATGGGAATGAAGAAAAAGAAGAAAAGGGGGCTTCAATCACGCTTGCCAAAGACCTGGGTGAAGAGCCGGGTCTTTAGGGCTCTTTGAAGCACCAGTAGGGTGGGGGCTGTTCTCAGGGGGAACCTCATTCCAGAGGGCAAGTGCTGCTACAGAGGAGGTGTCCTTCTGCAGTCCTGGAATATAGCACTGTTTTAACTGAAGGAACCTAGAGAGCACCAACCCCTGCCAGATTGGACTGGTCAGGCAGATACTATGGGAGGCAGGCGATCCCTCAAGTAACCAGGCCCTATGCCATGTAGGGCTTTATAGGTAGCAACCAGCACCTTGAACTACACCTGGAGGCAAACTGCCAACCAGTGCACCTTGCAAAACAGAAGTGTTACATGAGCATGCCAAGGCCCATCACTGTCCATGCTGCTGCATTCTGGACCAGTTATAACTTCCGGGTGGTCTTCAAGGGCAGCCCATGTATAGCACATTGCAGTAATCAAGCCATGAGTGACAGTCTGAAGGGCCCCCCAATCTAGGAAAGGGTGCAATTGGCACACCAGATGAAGCTGTGCGAAGGCCTTCCTGGCCACAGCTGCAACCTGCTCATCAAGGAGCTGAGTCCAGGAAGACCTCCAAATTATGCACCACCCTTGAATGGGGAAGTGCTACCCCATCCAAGGTCAAAGATGGGAGGTCCCCAGATCCAAACACCTGGAGCCACTTGGTCTTGATAGGATCATATCCTACTATACATCATAAAACATACTAATTGTATTACAAACCTTGGCAATGCCTACTAAATGTTTACATCCCTTGAGGGCAGAAAGAAGAATTTTGAGTACCCTTCCCCCCACCCCCTTCTAATCAACCCACCTACAATACAAGAAGAATCCACCATATACACTAAATTATAATTTTGTACCTATCTATTCCAAGCAGTTTAGAATAGTGTGTTAAATATATTCTCCTTTCTATAGGACACTATGCTATTAACAGCAGAGGAGCATATAACACCAACAGTTATGCATAGCCCATTCATTTTCTCTGCTAGCTGTTAAAAGGGCATTTAAAAAAAAAACAGTTCTCACAACAGGGTTAAAGTAAAATTAAATAAAAAATCCTTAGTATGAAAAATGGATGGCAATCCATTCAAGGATGTTCCTGAGCTGAATAAATCTGAAGCAAAGCAAAGTATCATGAGTTGCAATATCAGCTCTTAAGATAAAGAGACTTGCTGGAGGCAGCAATTAGCTACCTCTAACATATGCTTTGTTGTATCATTTCTAGAACCACAGCTCATTTTTAAAAATTGCCATTGCTAGGAATGAAATTAGAAAATGTCCAGTGGGATCCTGGAATGATTTTACAGGGCAAGTAGGGGGCTGGTGCACAATGCTCCCTTTCTCTCCCCTCAGCAGCTCCCAGCATGGCATTTTCTACTGACCCATCCACCCCTTCTTTTCAAGGTCTCCCCTTCCCTTAGTAGCCAAAGTACTGGCCTGTGTGCCCATTCTTTAATGGTCTCTCAGTAGTAAGAAACAGGTTTCCAACATGTGGTAGGTACCCCACTGGCCTGCTCACACCCAATTCCCAATGCTTTCCTTTCTCTCCTCACCCTCTTATGGGCTGCTGATGTCTTTGGCTTTTCCTATTTTTCCCCACTGTCCCCCCAACCACTTCTGCCTGGAATAACCATCTTTTGATCTGCATCTGGACTAAAACACTATTTTGTTCTATTTATTGAACCAATATATGTATGTATGTATGTTTCAGTTCAGGCACGGAATATTTTGTGTATCCCTAGTTGCTGTTTTCTGTGCCCAATCTGTAAGGATCACAATTTGCCTCTAAAAAGCTTACCTGCTGCCATAATAGTCTCTGGATCCACCATATCCACCGCTTCTGTTGTCATAACGGCCACCTCCATATCCACCACCTCCTACGGCAAAGATAAAAGGATCTGTTAAATCTTACTGTTTCCATGCAGTGGAGCTTCATGACTAAAGGGTGAGCTTTATAGAAAAACTCACCTCTAGAGAATCCACGTCCACGCCCTCTGCCTCCAGAAGAGCCACGGGAGGATTTTCCAGCCTGGTCAACTCTGATCTGACGCCCATCCACAGACTTATAGAAAGAATGAAAAAAAAACCTTTTATCAAGAGGATGATACAATCACACCTACTGCCAAAAGGAAGATCCCTGGGATCAGGATGAAGTGGGTATAATTAGGTCAAAAACTACATTTGATTACAGCATGTATGTTCCTTTTCTTTCAACAATCCCAATTTGATGGAGGTGCTCTAGGGGTCATTCAGGTGCAGATTGTATTTCTCCACTTTACAGCTGGAGAAGAGGAACAAACTCTCTTCTATTACGTAATACCCAGAAAACAAATACAACCAGTAAATTATATTCTAACTTTCTGCAGCATATTTACATTTCCTTCCTGAATCAATTTGCCTCCACTAAGTCAAGCAAATAAGTAAACTTTTTAACCCAGTCAGTCCACGCCTCAAATGCATTTAAATCTCAATAAAGTAGCAATTATCTATGAAAAAGCCCAAGTGTCTTAAGTGGGGCCAGGATTAGTTTGTTACAGCTTTCAGCTCACAGTGCACATTAGTGAAGGGGAATTACAGTAATTCTGATGAACTATTTTATGGAGCTAGTACTTGTAATTATGCTATTCACCCATTAGCTGACATTAGTTTTGAGATGTTTTATGAGTTTGTGCAAGTTAAAACTTAGCCTATTTTCAGCCTTAAATTAACAGGATTCTGTGAAAAATCCCCTAAAATTTATGCAGTCTACAAAAGTTAAAGTGCCTTCTTTTTCCTTCTTACTATTCAGAGTTTAGAAAACATTACGTCCTTTTATGAGGTGCTCCTTCAGTAAAGATTAAATGGGTTGAATGACTTCTGAAGTACTTTTTAACTTTAGGATTCTAGAAGTTTGATACAGGAGTGCTTACTGTGACTAGAGATAGTCATGTAAAAAGTGGACTTAGCTGCAAGATTTGGGGGAACATAATGTAATATTACATATCAATCTGTATTACAGGACAAGTATGCTAGGAAATAGCAAAGCATGAAATGTCACTATAAGCTTCTTGGTAGTCATCAACTGAAGTCCTCACCTCTCCATTCATAGCTCGCATGGCATCCTTGGCATCTTCAGGACGGCAATAGGTAATAAAACCAAATCCCCTGGACCGCTGGGTCTCCCTGTCTTTCACCACAACCACTTGAGATAAAAAAAAAAAGTGCAACCTTAGATCATAGATGTGCATGTCTACATCAACTCTTTCAACATCTCCCTATTTTAGCCCATATTAACTTTGTTCAGTTGATTACCATACAAGTAAAAATTATTAAACAATATCTTAGTCCTTACACATTAAATAGTTTATCAAACACTCATCAGAGGAAGCCTTCCATAAAATGAAAGAATAAACCCTTACAATTTAAAAAAGGGTAAACTTCTGTACAATTTTAAATACAGCCACTCAAATGAAAATGAGGATAAAATAGCAAATCATTTAAGATTCTGTTTGTTATAGGCAAAATTACTTTGAAAGTAAAAGATTGTACTATGTAAGACTTAAATCAAACATTATACCAAATGATAATTAAAAAGTCTTACATCACTAGGGATCGACAGTGGTGGTTGAGTTCATGATTTTAGAGTGAACTACTGAATCGCATGCTACATCTTTTTTTTTAGTTAATCATAATTCTGATTAAAACAAACCAAGATAGACAAATCAGAGGTTCCTGCTTAACTGCATTACTCATCATTATTGGTAGTGCACCAAAATATGGGGCATATTTTATTGCAAAATTACTTTTCACAAGATATACTGCTTCCACTCAATTTTCAAAGATTTATTCTCTGCCACCGTATTTCAACCTATTCTACTCTTTGTGTATCTGGAAGATATGGTATGGCAATAGATGCAGGGAAGTTTGCTTCCATCTGATCATCCCAGTTATGCATGCTAATCTGGTCTGAGTTAAGTGATCAAGGCTAGTATGCCACAAAAAGGCTAGGCTAGAGGCACCCTTCTGACATTCTCATTTTGCATGTGCAGGTAAGATCTTTTCTACAATGAATGGCCATGCCAAATTTTCCCCACCCAACAAAGCCCACAACCTGCACTCCCTTCTGCCTCAACCAGGCAATTATTATATCTTGACTGGACTGAAGAGCAGGGATGTGCAACATATTCCATGTATGAACTGTTCTGCGCACCAATCTGCTGGTTTCAGATGGCCTGTGCCTAAACTTAAAATCCATGTTACAGAAGTTTTGTTCCAGACACAGCATCAAACAGGCATGTTTTCTTTAGAATACAGCCCAAAATGCAGTTTGTTCTGGACAGATTTTTTTCAAAAGTTTGTTCTGTTTTAGCTTTGTCTTATCCCTTGAAACTGGGGTGTTATTTTTAAATGTCCCTCTCTGAACTGGAACATTAGGAGGGACCAGTTACATTCCTGTTGCTACTGTTTAATAGTGGGTGATCTGGATGGAATTTGGAAATAAAGCAGCAGACATTTAAAGAACACATGGCATGTTGCAAAGTTTTGGTAATTCTTTGCTACCTCCTAATCATGTCCAGATTTTTGCAGACTGAATCACACTTTCTCATGGATGAAACACCTGAAACTGTTTTGGGTTATCTTTTGGCCAAAAAACAAGACCAAACAAACCTTTCTGGATTTCATTTCTGCTAAACTAGAACAGAATGTTAGAACTTCCAGATCAGTGTTTTGACACTTAAAGCAAACAGCACTTAAAGAGCTGTTTTATATACTGCATTATAGCGTTGTTTCTAATATTGCATTACACAGAAAAATAACTATAGTAAATGTGATTTTGTGCAATCTTAATATTTCAATGTTGACAAGTCAAACATTTTCTCACCTTCTGCAATGTCGCCATAGGGTGAGAACAATTGCTCCAAATTTTGTTCATTGGTGTCAAAACTGAGTCCTCCAATGAAGAGTTTTCCTTCATCTGATGCCATTGTCTAAGTGATCTGTAACCAAAGACTTTTTATTTAATTCTGACAAATGCAAGAGTGCATATAAGGGCAAAGACCACACTATTCAGTTAAAATTAGAATCAGGGTTTTAACAGATTATTCTTTATTGTTCAGAAGCATATTCCTTTATTTAGAGGTATGCAAAACATTTCAGATTTAAAATGTTTTGTACTGACTGTTTGATTAGATATTTGTGTTCTGAGCTTGAAATAATACATGTTTTGATCTTTGTGGGGCTATTTCCAACTGGAAATCTTCTGACAAGGATGGAACAACTTTTTGAATTTGAACTGTTTTGTGCACTTTTCTTTTTACCATGACAGTTTAAATTATTAAGTAATCTACTGCAATTAACTGATGATATAATTAACATCAGTGACTAGACATTGCCCTAGACCAGTGTTTCTCAAGCTCAGCAACTTTAACATGTGTGGACTTCAACTCACAGAATACTCTAACCAGCATGCTGGCTAGGAAATTCTGGGAGTTGAAGTCCACACATCTTAACATTGCTGAAGTTGAGAATCACTGCCCTGGATGACTGGGTACCAAACTCACATTTTAATTTCTACCCCAGCAAGGATGTGTATGCCTCTTTTAAAAAGGTCACTGTCATGGTCTGCAGACTTCCACCAGCTTCAACTTTATGCCTGCAATTGGTTTATTATCAGTCATATTATACCTAAGTGAAAGCCTTAACTATCTTCAGTAGTTTAGTGCTCCAAAACTACAATGTCTTCCTGTTGTCTCTAAGGCAGACAATTGCAGAGCATGGATGA